ATGAGGAACTTGACCAATCGGCTGTGGCGACGTGGCCCCGTCGCCCTGCGTCCTGTACTTGTACTTACTGTTTGTGGAGGAGGGGGTACTCAGGTAACTACTTTCGTATTCTTCTCAAGTTCACAGTCGTTATTGGCACAACACCCGTTGACGGGGTGGCGTCAAACACTTTTCACAGATACGTTATTCGCAAGCGTGCATTGCCAGGGAAGCATGTCGAAACAGCCTGATCACTTATATATGCACTATTATTCATAACAAATGCCAAACTTAACCAATAACTGGATCTGACGGAGTGTTTTTCGAAAATTCGTGTTCTTCAAAGAAATCAGCAGTTAGAAATCGTCAACCTCCACGGTCGAATTTACACTACCACACAAAGATTGGAAGCTTTTGCATGTTTAGTGTTAGTGGATCAGGGGCCAATGTGCTTTAAACTTGCCCCTTCTATGCGTGCCACTAGTTGGTTATCCGGTGTCAAACCTTTTTGTAGGCTCACAACATTCCTGATATATTTTTTCTTTCTCTTGTTAGTTCTTATAACTGACAATTTACAACCAACCAGTTGGTTTACACCAAAACTGCTTTTACAACGATGCTCGAGTCATAACACCGGATTATACGGAAACGCCATGCGTCCTTCGGTTCTTTAATGATAATGGCATTTAATTAGGCAATGGCTCCATAGTGCTTGAAAATCTGCAGTGCTTAGACGCAGTGCTGCATCACTGGTCGAACAAGGTACGTTTGTCCGAGATTTTGGATTTGTGGCTTGAGCAAACAACATTGATCGTTTAACCCAACGCATTAGCAGATCTTTATAACAGACTTATACCAATACTTATGTAGAAAACGACTATGCAAATTCTGTTTTATTCTTCCACTTGTTCCACCATTTATTCTAGTCGAATTGTTTTGTTATTCTGTCGTTTTCTTTTTCTTACAGAAATTACCTCAAAAAACAATAAGTTAAAGTCGAAGGCCTGCAAATTTTTTGACCCTTGCCAAAACCTTTGGTCAATCGACGAGTTTCATGAGGTTCATCACCAAACGGGTCATCATTTCTTCGGTCTTCCCCTTCTCTTCCCAGGAAGAGTCAATGTGGGTTTCGACAGCACACGCTACCTGCACTGAATGTGACCGAACCAATGGAGTCACCTATGAGACAGATTCTCTGCCACGACGCATACTCAAAATGCATCGAATGTGTGACTCTATTGATTAGCAATGAACCTCCATATGGACATTCGAATTTTTATATTGTTGTTGTTGCACTTGTTTTTTCAAAATGGCTGAAAATTTGGCTCCTAGTTCACTTTAGTTTGATTGATTCTCATCAGGAGGCATCTCGGTATTGGTATCTAACTGATTTGAACGTTCATCGATAATTCTCTTAAATTGTAATTCGAATTTTATCATTATTGAACCAGGACTTTTGTATGGTGGGGTTTCAGATCGCTAATTTTCAGCCATCTTCATCAATTTAGGTCTGTTCTGTACGTCTAAAACAGATCATTGAAGGAACACTATGGAAATCAGTTTAGAAATGATTCAAGCAGTTAGAATAACCCATTTGTTTTTCCTTGAAGTCAGGTTCTTCAATGGGCACTAATTTGAGAGAATTTTGAAAATGAAGCTTCTCTTCTAAATAATTCTAGCTTCGCCAAGATATCAACCAACAGCCAGGGCAGTAGCAGTGGTCCAATTTCTGACATTATTCCCATTTTGCCTTCAAATTTCCATTCATACCTCATTTCAGTCTAATATACGCCACTCTGACTCATTCTATTCTTGACTTATTCCAGTTCCTTATCCCTCTTCACTTAAGAGTCCATAGCGTCATGATT